AGTCTTTTCCCAATGACAAACCAACTGCGTAAAGTATTGACCCAGCCCTATCTTGCCAAACCACCAGGCTTTTCCCACTTCAAACCCTTCCAGGGTAACTTTGTCCAGCTCTGAGCAGGTTGCCAGGATTCAGTAATAAGGAGCTGCATGCAGAACATCAGGCTGTGGCAATAACCAGGTTACTGCACGCCAAAGTGTCAGCCCAGATAAATGACCAAAATGACTCACTGTCAGCTACATGGCCAGTGACTGTATTTTCCACAGTTTGCAGCTAACTCTGCTTGGTTTTTCTGCCCAAAACTACCTATGTCTGACTTCCTGCTCTCTGGAAATATTATTTTCTTTGTAAACAGTTGTTTCTACCGTATCTAGGAGAGAGGTAATGTGGATTCAGTAGCTTCTCAGGGCCTGGCCTTGATGAGTTGATAAATTAAGAGAAGACACAAAAGCACCTTCCCATTGCAGCGTTTTTTTCCTTTGGTCCAGTGATGAAGGACAGAAGTTCACCCTTTTGATATGAACTGCAAATAAAGTCACACACTCTCTTTTGTGCTTCAAAGGTCAATGAGTTCTCTGTAAGCTCCACCCATAACCCCCCCCCCCATATTAAGGGTTGTACAAAGACATTACATGAGTATCTCTGACTTGCCAGTCCAGGGTTGGAACTGAAGAGCTCTCCTTATGCTGCATGGGTGATCCCTGAAAACCTCCCCTTGGCAGGAAAGAACACAATTTTAAAATAAAATCTATACTGCAGGATAGAGACAGCATGAAACCCTGGGCAACCCCTTCAACAAAGCATGAGGAGATTAAACAGGAGGCACTGGTGGTTTCACAACATGGTCCAGAGCCTCATAGGCTGATCTGTTACCTGGCAGCTGGGACAGTGAGAGGGAAGGCAGCTGGCAGGCAACCTGCCCACAGCCTGACAGGCTGATAGCTTCGGTGGGTAATCTGCATTCACATGGGGAGTCTCACAGACCTCTTCAGACTTTGAATACAGATTCCTTGCACTGGACAAACTTGCTGAATAAATTTACTGATATTTATTTCCCAAAAATTTTTTTTAAGTAAAGAAGTGCCCAGAATTAAATGAGTAAATGTTTCTAGCAGGAGGTAAATTCAATTTGCTGCAGTTCAAAATATTATGCAGATTCCCATCTGCTTTTGTGCAATGGAAAAAAAAAATAGTTCCAGATTATTAATCTATTCACAGTGCCACTCAGTTGTTCTTTTTGATTGATGACAAGTGTTTTTGACATTAATATCCTGGTTCTTAGATTCTGTTAATGTTGTGGGTAAGTATTTGCAGAAAACAAAACAAAACTCTAGTTGAGAACAGATGCCCTAATTCTAATGGAAGAATTTCACACCAACTCCTTAAAGCCCTCATCTGAACCCATACGAACTCTTCTAGTATGTTTTGCAGTTTCCTTTCTCCTTGGCATACTGTACATTAGAGACACAAGTTTTTAATTGCCCTGTCAGGCTTTCTCTCCTTCTTCCTGGTTGTCACCACTCCTCACTTACGGTCTATGATGATCTTGATCTTAGAGCAGCTATCTTATCCACAGGATAGCAGCATATATTGTTCAGTAACTCAGGCAGAAGCAATTATGGAACTTTTATACCATGGAAGAGCAGTACAGATGTATTGCTAAGCTGCCAGATAAGAAGCTTATATTTAAACAGACAATAAAAGTTCATTTTACTTCTCTAGGCACGGAGTCACACTAACATTAACCTGGCAGTGGCAAAGTCTATTAAGGGCCTGTCCAGATTCCACTGGAGTCAGTGGCAAAGTCATGCTGGATGCAGGGCCAGCTCTTACTCTGCCTGGTGATATCTATTGCAATAAACTGCATTTATGGGAATCCATTTCCTTAAAGTTAAAAATATTCAACACAAGAATCCAGCAGGCAGTCCTTCCACTGCGGATCTATAGCCAGGGCATTTTCTAACACCTGCTAAATTCATCATATTCTGCTGAAGAAGAGAATTAAGGAAGCATTGTTTAAACTAATCTTGAAAAAGTATGGCCTATTACTTTCCTACTAAGTTCCTATGTCCCAGTAGTTTGTGAAGTCGGCATCTTCTATTTGCATATTTTCTACAATAATATTTCACTATAACTTCATTTAAAAGCCATATTAAATTAAACCAGTCATGTCATAAGTCAGGTTGGAAATATCTCTTGCCTGTCTGGCGCTAACCTCTCTGTTCAAGCATGGCACTATGTGGAAAGTCCCTCTGTGCAAACAGTGCTCTTTACCGTTTTCTAAATATGACTCTTTTTGAAAGAGTTTTAAAAATTTCCCAAATGTAATTTCAGGCATTGGCCAATACTGATATTCCAGATCCACCCTGTGCTTCAGTCTCTGTTTAGAATCTCCATGGGACTTTCCATAAAGGCACTGGTCTTCCCCTGCAACCTTTGCCAAAATTTCACCTTTTCTTTCCTATTACATCACCTGTGGATGCAGTAATAAGAACCCAGCTGCCTCCTGTCCTGAAAAACTCTGTCCACTCCTTCCCAAAGCCGTAATATCTGAGCCTTGTGTTGATTATTGTTGAAAAAAGAAAACCAGTGTTTGTGTTAGTGTTTTTAAACATAATCACCTAAGAAGGTGCAGTTGTGTGTTTTCTCAAAGAAAGTGTTTGCTACTTGTGTGTAAATAAATGTCCACATTTTGACATCTCACTCAGAATACAGTAATTACATTGAGCACATAATAAAAATCTTAAACTGAGCTTGATGGTTACATCAGGGTGCTAAGTGGTGGTTGTGGTTGGATAAAGGGATGAGTCTACTATAGTTCAACTTTCTTTGTGCGTGAAGATGTGGGGAAATCCTAATAAAGAGGCAACTGGTAAATGTTCAATATGTTTAATACTTTGCTGCCTCATTTGGAGAACAAAGAGTTGCCTGTTTCATACTACTGGTTTGGACAAAGGCAGGGCATGGAAACGTGTAATCTGCATTTTCTGAATAGTCAAGATGCACAAAGATGATTTCATGTCTCTAACTCTTTTATGCTGGCATCCTAGTAAAATGGGAAAAAAGTAATCTAAAGTTTTGATGGTGTGTTTTGTTTTTTTTTCCCCCCCCTAAAATCCAGAATCAGAAATATTCACAGTTCTGTTGTGTTTCTAATGTGATGTGAAGGATTGGTCGAATCTAGACACAGGGCTACCACCCTAGAGTGTAAAATTGAACTAATCTTTTAAATAAGTCTAAAATTACTACTCCTATCTCTGAGAGCTAGTCTAATAAACTAATGAATATGTAAGAGTTTCTGACACCCAATGAGAAATCCAACAGTATAAAAAGAATGAAAGGATCAAGGGAAGAGAGTCTAATTCTTCTCAGGAAGCTGCTCTTGCTAATGTGATGAGGAAACTCCTGCTGTGAACTGTGTCACTTCCATCATGTGGGACCACTTTGTGTGACCTTGTCATTTTGTAGCTTTGGAAAATAACTGAATAATGAATTTTCCTGGCAGTTTTGACAACCAAATATGTTTTACTTTATGTTATAATGATCGGACTGACAGTCTTTCTGTAAATAATTCATACAAAACCTCATAACATATGACTATGCAATTCAGGTCCAGAAATGTGCACCTGTAACAGTGACAACATGGAAGACTAAGTACTCATTGCAGTGGATTTCACTGGGCAGTTCTAGTTAAATATGCCTTATATTTACTTAATTTTTAAAGAAGAGAAAGAATGATCTCATGTTGGTGTGCACCCTATCTATTAATAGTCTGTTAGGTAACTGTTGCCTTTTGGCAAGTTTAATTTTTCTGACAGTGGTGAAAAATAGTTAAACATCAAAAAATGGGACATGTGCTATTACGTTATACAAGAGCTAGCACCTTACATTAGTGTTCCTGTTTTTTCTCTGAATGTATTACTTTGTGCTATTCTCACCTCCAGGCATGGGAATGTCTGATCATTCTGACCTGAAAAGGGTCTTGTGTGCCTGAATGCTTTTCTCCCAAAACCAGAAGATATTAATACCTTGTCCTGGTGGAGGTGCTAGTGTTGGGCCAAGAGTGAGAGGTTTCTCATTTGGGGAAACGGCTTCCCCCTTTTCTGGCCCAGGTTTGCAGTGCAACTCTGGCCCCCGTCTCCTTCTCCTCGTTCACCTCCTTCTTCCCACAGCAGGTGTTTGCTTTTTCTTTCTCAGTTCAAGGCCTCTTTTGAATTAACTTCTGTTCTCCACCTTTTTTACGCAAAAGCGTCCCTAAGGCCCTTGATTTTCTGAACCCTTCTAGCGATTTTCAGTGTGAATGTCTGTGTGCAAATGTAGAAATTAGGACAGTTATGAGGCCACGTATCCCAAATCGGACAGCTAGAGGCTGGATGGGGAAAGGCCACTGCAATGCTCCCTGCCCAGGAGCACAGAGTACAGGATGCAAGGGCCAGTCACCTGGACTCCTACATGCTCCTTGTGGGAGCCAGGCCCCGAGCCAGCCCCTGGCTCTGCTGTGTGAGGGGCTCCTTGCCCGGTGCCCACCAGCATCAGCTTCTCCTGGGCATCCTCAACCCCACCCTGTGGGGAGAAGAGGAGAGTTTGCAAGCGGAACCCAGAGCTCCTCTGTCTGTGTAGCAGAGCTGGGGGAGCCAGAGTTGCCTGTGCATAGGAGATAGGACAGTCTTATGTAGAAGGGATGCAAGCACAGGAGGAGGAAGGGAAGCTTGTAGAGAGAAGGGATGTTTGCTTGGAGGAGAGTTGTACACGGGAAGAATAAGGGATGGTTGTGGGGCAGGAGGGACGCATGCACGGGAGGTGGGATGCACGCAGGACACGAGGGATGCAGGCAGGGTAAGCAGGGGAAGGCAGGGCAGAGCAGCCCGGCGGCGGCGGGGACGGGGGCACGCCCTGGCTGGGTCCGCAGCTCCTCCCTCGCCCTGAGTGACTCCGCGCTCGCCCACTCGCAGCGCGGGGACATTATGATGTGCAGGCGGGCGGCCCAATCCGGCCGGGGCGGTGGGGCTGGGGCGCGGCGAGCGCGGGCAGCAGGGCTGGACTGGCACGGCGGGACGGCTCGGAACGGCACGGAGCGAGCGGTGAGTGCTCTCGGGGCTCTTCCAGCGCGGCCACAACTTGGGGAAAGTTTGCCGGCGCTCGCCCCGCCGCCTGGACGTGCCGCCCGCCCGCGCGGAGCATCCCGGCCACGGCGGCGGCGGGAGCGGAGGAGGTGCCCACCAGCCCTGGGGCTCCGCGGGGCCCGGCCCGGCCCTCGCTGCTGCCCGGCTCCGCTCCCGACCAGGCGTGTCCCCGGCGGGGTCCCGGGACAGCGGGGCGGGCGCGGAGCCCGGGAGTGTCGGTGCCCGCCGGGAGGCGGAGGACGTGTCCGCCGGGCGCGCTCCTGCCGCCGCTTCCAGCCTCCCCGCGGCGATGAAAAGGCACTTGTCTGATTCATCCCCCTGGAAAAGTTCACCCTGGGGCGGGCCCAGGGCGGGGGATGCTCTGCCCGCGGCCGAGCCGCGGCTCCGCGCTGGGATGGAGCCCTGGCTCCCGCAAACTTGGGGCTTTGTGAGGGCTGGGGGGAAGCAGAGCCCGGCCGAGGGGCGGGGAGGTGCCGCTTCCCGCTGCGGGTTCCCGCAGGGCTGTGCTGAAAAGGGGTTCGGTTTGCGTTTAACTTTTATCTTTTGTTCAGGATAGTATTCCCAAAGCAGAAAAAGTGAGGAAATGGGGGCGACTTCTCCTCTAATAGAAGCGGGGTGAAATAAATTGACCTCATGGGACAGCTGTATGAGTTTATTTTTATGCATCTCTAATTTGGACTGGGAGAGGAAGTGTCACCCTGCTCCCCCTAACAATGGCTTCTTGTTGGGAGCCTGAGGAGGGGAAGAGGAAGGGAAGAGCATGGAATTTTTCAGGAGGTAAAACTTCAGACTTTCGTTTGCTTAGGAAAGGCTGGGGCACCCTGACGCTGGCTGTAAGTATTCTAACGGATAGTATCAAATCCCAGTGATCACAGAGGCAACAAACTCTGCAGTCATGACTATGCCACAGTTTTAAGTTTTTATCTAAGTGGCTCTGAGATATGTGCGTGGGAACCGACCTCCTTGGGACAGCTTGCATGTGTCTGTAAGAGCTTCTGTACCTTCAAGCAGGGCATCCCTTGCACTCATAGATGTCTTTTCAGGAGAGCTGCCGGTATAGCTCCAAGCAAATGCCATCAAATCAGCCTCCGAGGTTGTTATTGCTGTTACACAATTCCAGTGGAATGTGAGAGCTGAGCTTCCTGTTTTTGGTCAATCTGTAGAAGAAACTATAAAAGATAATAGATATCTCAGATAAATTGCTTTTGCATGAAAACTTGGAGCCATTGTTCCACCAGTAACACTTGTGACTTCTCCAGTGGGCCTGGTAATCTGAGAAACTCCTTAATGCTGGGAGACTTGCTCAGAGTAACTTTAAAGACAACAGCTGGAACCTGGATATAAAGAAGGAATAGTTACCAAGATCAACATGTGTTAGTGCTGTGCATAATGATGTATAGAAATTCAATCTGTTTTGAAAAGAAATCTTGTGCTGAGGAGCTGCTGGTAGCTTGTAAGTGGAGAACAGTGATTCAGGGGGATTAGTGGACACAAGGCAAGTCCCCTGGGTGGAATATTCTGAAGCTGATTTTTGCCCTGGGGGTGTTTGATGGTCTTATGTGTGGGGTGTGTGCACATTCCAAATCTGCTGTTCTGCATCTGAATAATTAAAAGAAAAAGTTATAAAATAATTTACTAAGAGAAATATTTTTGAACCACTACTGTTATCACAGCCTGTTAATCTTGCCAAAGGTTTAACAATTTGAGGATGTAACTTGGTTGTAACCAAGCTCCTTTGAAGGAATTTTCTGCTTGTGAAAGATGAATTACTCATTCGTTGTCTGAGTTAAGAGATTGTAATGTGATTATTAAACTCAGTTATTCAATGCTAGATATAAAGAATTATGTTTAACTGGGGTCTTTGTTCTCTTATCAAAGTTAATCTGATTAAGTTTCCCCTCCTATAAAATAGGCAAACATCTCCCTAGATTAAAGAATGCCCAAAACTCCAGAAACCTTTTTACTAGTTTTTGGTAGATTAGCTTCCCAGTGGACAGGGCTCTGGGGACTGATGACTTCATTAGGTATTTGGCTGATGGATGCTTGGAATTGCGATAAATGCAGAGGAACCCCTTCCCCTGGGGCTCCCTTACTGACTTCTCTGTTCCGGGTTTCAATTGTTGTGAGATTAAGGTGGTGAGTGAAGGAGTTGCAGCCTTGTTAAATGGGTTTGCTGCTGAATCCACTCATGCGGGATCTTCTAGTAACTCTTTCCTGTGTTTACTTGGCTTTCTAGTGCAGCTTTGGAGAAGCAGAAAGACCACAGTTTTGACTTGAAGGAAGCAAGGGAAAATGCTGCTGAGTGATTGGTTGAGAAGGATGTTAGGGGCCTTAATTCAGTAGTTGTGCTGAAGCAGCTGCTGGTGATTTAAGTGATCTATGTGCCTTGTGAATAGCTTTATAGGTAAACTGCATGTCTTTTGTGTAGTAAAACTGCAAGTGCTCCACTTGGAGCATCAGTAGAGGAGTTGCATTTTTTCAGTGTCTATAATGTAATGCATCAGGAGCGTGAAATGCTTCTCTTTTAAGTGATTGACAGTGAGTTTAGGGAGGGTGTGTCCATCACAGATAATGTAATCGATTTCCTTATCCAAGTAGATGGTGTGATCAGTGGCTCATTTAGCACCTGAGGTTTTTTTGGTGGTGATATTTAAGGTGGTGTTAATTTGTTTGGTGACGTGTCTCAACACACAGATAGTGTTCTTGGTAATCTATTTTACATAGTATTAAATAATAGGTGGTGAAACACAAAGGGGCTGTGTTTTCAGCAGAGCCAAAGGCCAAGTAAGTTCTGCTTTATGTCAGAATTTTCAGTGTGGTATTTTTCTTCTTTGTGGGTGGGGTTTGTTTGTTAGTTTGTTTTTAAGTTGAAATGTTTTGCATCTTTTCACTTCATTAAGTGCCGAGAGGTGTGGACCAGAATTCTCTGGGGACATTTGTCCCTCTTTAGATACAGGCCTGTTAGCTTTATTTGTCTTGCGCGAGAACTGCCTGTGGCAGAGGAGATGATGGAAAAGCAGCATCAACCCTGCCTGCGTTATTCCAGCACAGGTTTTGTACAGATCCATCGGTGTCCTACAAAGCACAGCCCCAGCTCTCTAATGGTGTTCACAAGGGCAGCTCTTGACCTGTCACGCTGAGAGGCAGGTTAACCCTGTGCAGGGACGTGGGGGTGCTTCTGATTGCGAAGAGAGTGGAACAGAAATGTGAGGATGGAAGGAGGGAGACGCCACTGCTACAGTGTTGCTTTGCATTTTGCTGAGGGTTGGACAGGTGAAATTTTGTGCGGCTACAACTTGGTTTTTATCTGTGCTACGGAGTAGCAATTTACAGCAATAGAAACATGGTATAAATTGTGGTTTTGTTCAGGCTTTGACTATTACCTTTGCTCCGTGTATATTAAGGCAGTAATTCAGCATAAAAAAGCAAATTCTCATCTCATGGGGCCAGCTGTTTAAACATGACTGACAAGCTATCAAGCTGCATGGTGCAATAACAGATATTAATTTTTAACTTATTAGTTACTACTGAGAAGTTCATTGGCAATAGCCACAATATTATGTGTTGATATTTATTAACTAATTGCTGACCTTTGCATATTCAGCACTTTCTGAAGTAAGTACCAGTGTGCATAATTAATCTGTGTATCATTTTGGACATTGAGCTTGTGGAGTAATTAAAATTGTTAATTACATCAAAAAAGCCAAACATGAATCCAGAAACTCCTATCACCAGATGTGTGAAAAGTAGAATTTAATACTGAATTAAAAAAGTTTACCAAACAACCTTAATGCATATGCAGAGCAAAACATTTCTGAATATCTTTTCGAAGATGTTGCAAAACTGAGACCAACTCTTTTAATGAGGGTGATGCAAGGCTGAATTAAATCAGTATTTGTTGGGTTACTACAATGAATGTCACGAGATACCTATCCCTGGTCCCCAGACCCCTTGATAGGCACCTGTTGACATCTTTGCACCTACATTCCTGTTGGCATATTTGGGAATTGGCTTATTGCACAAGCAGCAGTTGTTGTGTTTGTGGCAGAGGTCTGCCTGAGCACTGCTGGTAGGGGAGGGCATAAAAAGGACTGTTTCCCCTCTGATCATCCCAGGGACTTGCTCAGGCTCTGATGCAGAATCATCTATTCCTGCTTGCACCGTTAAAGCCCTTTCCAGCTCGGAGGTACCTGCTACTCTTGTTGCTGATTGATGAGTAGGTTGGAAATGTGAGAGGTGAAGGCTGTTGGGTGATGGTCCAACATCTGGTCTCTGGGTGCTGTGGCTGGGAGAAGTGATGCTAATTGTCCATCCTGGAGGTCCTGTGAGCTGCAGCAGTTGACAGTGACTGGACGACTGTAATCACTTTCAGCCATGTGACTGCTGGTCATGAATGAACTACTGTTGTGTACCCTGCTCCATACACAGGGGTTTGGGTGTACTGTCTCTCTTGGATTTACTGAATGGCAGGGAACTAAAAATAGGTATCTCTGCATGGTCTGTGCTGAGAGTGGGTATGGGGTGAGTGGTGCTTAGACACAGAAACATTTAGTACAGCTTCAGTCTTAGCAGCTGCCTGCTTTGTGCTCTTCAGTGCTGAAGTTGTAGCTGCTGGGTTGGTCTTGTCTGTCCATCCTTGCTAGTGTTTCCTGCCCTGGATGCTCTTCCTGCCTCTAGGTCAGGTTTCTCTGAAGTGGAGACTTGGATAACACCTCTCCATCACGTGCTGTGAGATTCAATTGGAGCACTGCAGCACAGTCTGTGAGAAGTCTCTGGTTTGTGCACATTTCTCAGGTGAAGGGCTGGATTAGATGTAGATTTCCTCGGTTTTACCTGGGTGGTTTTCCTCACACTGTGCCATCAGCATGAATACAGGGAATTCCAGCTGTCAGAAGTCCTCCTGCCTTGTGTTGCTGTGCTGCAGACCCCAGCCCACCCCATCTCCTTCGGCACATGGCACCAGTAACCTGGGGTGGGTGTGCTGCAGCACTTGGGGGTGTGCTGCACGGGGAGGGTGATGGAGGCCCACCCTTTTCACTGATGATCAAGGAGATGATTTGGTTACAGCTGGAAAATGGGACTTGTGTGTTGGTGGCTGCAGAGCCCAACATGGGCAGCAGGTGCTGTGTTTGAGGTTTTGGGTATTTGGTACCTGTGTGATTTGCCAGCCATGTAAAGAGCAACTGGTCTCCTCGTACAAGCTGAGCAAGAAAATGGGGTTAATCAATGGAGCTGGAAGACGGAAGTCTCCACTTAATAGGGCTGGAGAGTGGGGTGGGAGGAGAGGACATGCCCATCTGCACTCTATTCCCACACTGATCTGGAGGTGTAGGTGTTGGAGGTAATAGAACTCTTCCCCATTGTGGCTATGTCTTATGTCAGTGCTGCTGACCAACAGCTGCCCTGACAGCAGGACTCCTGTTTGGCCTGGTCCACCCTCTCCCAGCAGCTCTGTTCCCATCAGGGGTGTGGACCTCCCTGGACAGGGTGCTGAGCTGCGGTGGCCAGCCAGGCCAGACCACTCAGTCACTGTGGCATCTGCTGGTCTCCCGGGAATCTATGATCTGTTGGCTTTTTTTGGTAATAGATTACAAATGCTAAGAATGATAAGCAAGTCCTGTCTGGCCTGCTTGGAAGAATTATATCACATGTGCTCCTCTAACAGCTAGCGTTTCACATCTGGGTTTTGTGGGTTAACGCCTGGGCTACTCAAAGCTGGTTTTGTCACTGAGTTGTGAATGGCATGATGATGAAGAGGGAGCTTCCCAGTCCACAGGAGAGTTGCTATCAGCAGAGATGGAGCTATTGACAGTTATTCTTTCCCTTTGGTTTGTTTTGCTAGTTGATTCCTGTTAGTTTATCTCCAACTTTCAGCATCTGTGAGCCATGAGGCTGACCACTGCCCATAGAAATGCAGCATCCTTGGCAAGTGGGCTTCCCTTAGGTCCCCTTCCTTGTGTCCCCCTGTGCTGGCTGGTCCATGCTGACACCCTGTGCTGTGGGGCAATGTGCACGTTCTTGGGGGTGAATTGGCTCTTCCTGCAACATCCAGACTGTCCCCAAGGGCTGTGGTGGCCTGTGTACTACTAACATTTGGGAGTCAGTATGGAAGAAATAAAATAATTGTTGATTTGACATGCATCTGAGGATGTGGGGAGCTGGACAACTGTCTGAAATGGGAAGCTCTGGTTAGGACTGTTGCTCATGTCAATCCATATGGACCATATGCTTCTAACCAGTCTCCTTGTCTCATTTCCTTCTCTGAAATGCTTACAGCTGTTTTTCCTGCCTCTTCAGTAGGTTTTTTGTTCCTGTAAAAAGAGTGACGGCTCACAGATGCTGCTGGAAGTCCCCACTGCATAGCTGGGAAGAGAGACTACTACTGTGATCTTCAAGGGAAGATAAAGTGTAGTGTCTCTGCAGGAGGCCTGATTACTGCTGTTTTGAAGTAAGCTTTTTTGGTTTTTTTTTTTTTTTCTTTTTAAAACTGAAAATAGATTTCACTGTCTCATTCACTGTTTCCTCATCACATACTGCCCTTAGTGGTGGAAGTGAGAGAGCAGGTAGTTGATGAGGTCACCTATAGGTAGAAAGAGGAAGGACAAAGTGATATTGGCAGTGATCATATGTGTTGAGCTGCTCGACATTCAGTCTTATTGCTGTGCATATGAAACCTGGGTTAAACTTCAGTGTTGCTTAGATGTTGGCTTTTTCTCTGAAGAAGTCTGTGACTGAGATATTAGCAGTGCTTGAGGTTCATCACTGCTGGTCCTCCAGTTATGCCAATGTACCATCTCTTGTGTTCTGCCCGGAGAAGTAATTGCAGACCTCTGTAGTTGGGTTAATGATCCAGCCCTGGTCAGGTGAAGGAGCTTTAGGGATGCTGATGCCTATGCAAGTGTTTCACAGTTTATGGATGGATGGGAAAGGGCTGTCTGAAGACTGTGAGAGAAGCTCTCTGTACTACTCACTTTTAGGCAAATGACCTGTGTACTGCAAGGAAGGTGGGCTTAATGTGGCAAAGTAAATGGCTGTGTTGAGTTGGCTTGAATGCCAAGTTAGGACAGTGCCTGTAACAAATAAAACCTAGTTGTGTGTTTATGTCTGAAGTCTATGTGATCTTGGGTTCGTTTAGGTGCTGAGAGTACAAAAAATCTCTGCTTTTAATGGGTCGGTTTCCTGTTGACCATAAACCTAAATAAACAAAACTTATTTTCCAATCCTCTGATATGATGTTTTTGCAGTCCCCAACTGTGCAAAACAACAAGGTGTCCCAACAGTTGTTTTATTGGTATCTGAGATAGGAAACCTTGTATAAGATCCCTATATTGTGTCCATGGCTGGTGACGGTTTTCTTGCCTCATCCTCCCAAGGCTCTCATTGCTGTGCAAGGAGCTGTGGATTGGCTTTTCCTTCTGCACAAAGTATGCTGGGGCTGTACTCTCCTCAGCCTATGTTGTAAATTATACTTTATAATCTGCTGTAGGAAATGGAAAAGAAAGTAATTCTGATTTGTGTTCTTTTAGAGCCCTGTTCTTTAGACCAAAATACACAGGATAAGTCTGGCCCTTCCCTCTATTCACTTTTCATAGCCTCCTTTGTTTTTAATTTATATATCTTTTTATTCTAAATTCCTCCCGTCCCCAAAATAGAACAGACATCAGCCTGCAAGCAAAGATTGCCAGGCATTGGTCTTGTGGATTATAGTGGCTTTTTGGCCTGGTTGGATACTGAGCCCCACCCTACGTAGGCTTGGATTAAAAATAGTCTTCCTTTTCATCAGACTGAAAACTGTGCACAACACAATCTATGTCTTGGTTTCTGGGGTATTGGCAGCCATGGGAAGCCCTTCAGCTATAAAATACCTCAGAAAATCTGTTTGCTGCTAATTCATCCAAAAGTGCAAAGGCGACTGGTGTCGGGAAGGTGTAGAGTCAGGTGTCTGACTGCCAGCCACGTTGTTATTGTAGATGTTGAGTAAAGTTTTAGCCATGCTTCTTGAAGGACCTGAAAGAGTGGGAAACTGTAGACCACAGCCTATACATTAGGCTGCCACTTTAATAATGTCTTATCCTAAGTGGTGGAGGGAAGTCCAATGGCTAGGACACTGCTCCTGCCCCACAATCTCCAGCTCAATCCTGTCTGTCCAGCCCTGAGCTGCACACTCCTTCCTTCTCTTATAAAACAGAAAAAAACATCAAGGGCAAGAGGTTGGCCAGTATCTGGTGTGGTGAACTCACTCCCACACTGCCTATTGGAAAAGTTAAGCCTCAAACCCAAGCTTCTCAGGCACGTCTGAGTGGTTGGCCTTGGGATAGAAGAGGGAAGATCCAAGTGTCTCCTTGCCCTGGGCATTTGTTCTCTACCTCATGAATCTCAACTGTTGACTTCTTGTGTGGTTTGTTTTCCACTGTCCTTGGCCACGCTTGGTGAGGCAGTGTGTTGTTTTATAGGATGGTAACCAACGCCAGCCTCTTGCAGGCCCCTGCCCGCTCCGTGGGGGAAGGCAGGATGCGGCTGATCCGGGATGTGGAAGCAGGCAGTGCTGCCTAGCAATTCCTCCAGCTTAACCATAAGCCTTTATGGTTGTTTAGGGCAGGGGTGGGAGTAAATGAGCAGGGGAGTGTGATGGGAGGAGGGCAGGGAGACTCTGCCCATTGCCTGTTCACGGCCGTTTATGACTAGTGTGCTCTGTGGGCCTCGTTTACGTGACCTTGTCGATCAAAGGTCTCTCTGTAACGAAAGAAAATGCCTTTTTCTTTTCAGTTTTTGTAGACTCTGCCTTGGCCTGTTCTGTTTCTTGTTCTTTTATTCTAGACTAGATAGATTGTAAAAAAAACTTGAAAATGTGAAATATTGTGTCTCATAAAACCTTTGTAAACAGTCAAGAAACTGTCCGTAGAAGGACATTAGAAGGATTTTATTTCTCCCAAAACCTAGGGATGAGCTTTCAACCTTTGTCTAACTCAGTTGCATGTTTTTACTGTAATTGAGAGTCAAGGGGCTATTTGTTCATATCTCAGTTTCTTAAAGTGGAAAAACTGACTCCTGCAGTTATGTCTTAACTACAGGCTTTTTTTTTCCATAGGAAACTGAATTTTGTTTGGAAAAAAAATGCTGGCTAGGATGTTTTTAAAAATTGTATCAGTACAGAAACTTACACAAAGCAAAGTGAGCTGCTGCCCACTGCAAGGTCAGGTCAAGACAAGGAAAAACACCAACCTGGGAAAAAAACAGAAAGAAGAAAATCTCATAATCTGGTAGATGAGACAGGCTGAGTAACATCAGAAATGCTGCTGGCTTGTATCGGTGTTTCCTATGTCAACTGCTGAGTGTGGCTGTGGTTTGGGGAGATGCTGTGTGTTTTGGGGGTGTCAGTGACCGTGGAGTGGCCTCACCTCTGGCAATAAGTAATCCTGACCTGTGTCCTGTTAGTGCAGCTTCTGCCAGAGTTTTGTGTGCTAAAACTGCTTCTACTGCCTCGGTTCCAGATGATGGGGAGACTTCTTGTTAGGGGAAAAAAAAAAAAAAAGAATTGAGTGCAGGGTTCTGGGGACATCCTCTTGGATTGGTACTGAAATTGTTGTGTCTCTTGTGGTGGAGGAAAAGAAAGCTTAAGAAGAATCATCTTTGTTCTATGCTTTTTTTTTTCTTTCCTGAAGGTCAACATATGAAAAGTATTTTGATACTAGAAGAACATACTTGCACATAGAGTGCATGTGATTCTGTACTAAATTTATATCTATGTGGTTTATTTTTTGCTAATATATTAGGGATTAAATTAATGCTCTTGAGAGCTGAATGCGCAAGAAATTTGAAATGCAAGTTGAAGACCTTGGATAATAGACACTCATAACCTGTCTGGATTGGATGGAAGGTGATGTGCAGTGGATTGTTACTGAAAAAAGTTTGCACAGTCACCTGTGTGCCATTTCCACGCTCTTCCCTGTCTGCTGTGTTATCTGAAAACTATAGCTGAAGTCCCTCTTTTCTATATGCTCCTTCCCTCAAAGTATCTTTGCAGCTTGGCATCCCAGGAGCTGACTGGGTGAGTGAGATGGGACCTGTTCTGCGTTCTGAGAGTACCACATAACACTCTGCATTGTCAGTGCCAGAAATAGTGGCTGTGAGTGATGCAGTTCATGTCAAGATGGAGTGGAGAGATAAGTAGTTTTGTTCTATGGGAACATCCCACCTATGATGGACCCATAAGCTTGCAACAGAAACTGGATATTGGAGCCCTTTGGGTTACCATGTTCATAGCAATGCATGTGTCTCTTCCTAAATTTGATCAGATTTGAGGTTTTTTTAATGTTTGTGTTGGACTTTGCCTCAGTGATTTTCCAGTGCATGTGGTCCCTGGTGGCAGAAGCCCACCTACCAGGACTTCTGCTCCATGGACTATGCCCAAAATCACAGGGGATTGTTGATCTGCCTCTTCTGCTGTCTCTCCAGTGCTACAAGGTAGAAGAGTGTCTTGTTCTACTTTCACAAACAGTAGGACTGAACTTGCTGCCTTTGACTCTGCCCTGCTGGGAAGGATGGGAATGGTGAATGAGGTCCCATGTGTTTTCACAGTCTCTGTCTCCGTTTTCATGGCAGGGCTCAGCACAGCCCCTCTCAGCAGATGAACTGCTGGGCAAGCACCGAAGTTTTCAGAGTGCCCAGAACAGCTTTAACCAAGTGGAAACTTGAATTCAAGCTACCCATCCCTATAATTGGCATTCATATTTTGTGAGGCAGTGCTTTAGCTGGGTCACTTACTAAACAGTGCCTGAAAGATCATAAATTGTGGGTCCTTGTTCATGCTGCCATCGCAGTCTTGTGCTTCTTCCTGCTAATCAGCCAGAAAGGGTCTGTGGAGCGTTGTTTGGGTTTGGAGCAGGGCTGTGGTTTTGAGATTCCAGGATGCTGAGTCTTGTCCCAGGGACAGGCTTGGATGTTCTCCTGCCTTGGAGCCTGTGCAGCAGGACATTAATGATACTCTAGCCCATCCCTGTTTTCCTTGGGTTAAAACAATGTTTACCTTCTGCTATAACTGTCGAGCAGCTGCAGTGCTGTGGTGGTGTATATACACATATATATTCTCCTATAAATCCTGTAGTTAAACATTTCCTTGACCCAGCATAGAATAAGGTGCTTGTCTCCAGCTGGTCACAGAAATAAAGGAAGTGAGTTCCAAAACAATATTGCAATTAAATTGTTTCTTCCTGAATTTCGCACAAAATGTTTTGCCTCTGAGAATGCATTGTGAGGACTTTATTTTAGGGAATACATAGGGTGTTGTAGGTGTATATAAAGTTACCCTTTATGATTGCTATTGTGCAGGCATTCAGGGAGAAGGTTGGCCCCTGCTTTTAAGAACTGTTTCTGAGATGATAGCAACATTCTGAAGGTCAGTAGAGAACAAACGGAAATACATTTACAAAAACATTCATTTTTCTCAGT